TAGAATAATGTTGGTAAGAGTTGTCTACAGTTAGTGCATGTTAATTTACACCTTTAGCCTCCAACATATAAAAAACATTGAGTCCATTACAGGTGATGCTTTCATCAGCCTGAATTCCCTATAAGACTTGAGTTATGCATAATTGAATGTAATACACATCATACATGCTTCGCATTTTCACTTTCTTAGAGGGTTATCATGTTATATACTTTGGTTAGTGACATATGAATTATGAGCTATTCTATCAGTCGAGTACATATATATTGATTACATTGCGTTGATCGGGTACATGCATATATTTATATATTACTTTATTGCATATTCATTTATCATTGTATTGATTAAAATAAATACATATTGTATGGAAGCCTATAACTACCATTCATAATTTCTACTTTTCGCCCAATCAGAAGGCGAAAATAGAAAATTAAGAAATATCACAACGCGATAATAGCGCCCCTCGTTTTTTCCTAATTTCTAATTTTCAACTTGCATTTTGGCCTGTATACCGTACCGTCTTTCGACTTGTGTTTATTGATGTCAGTAAGAAGGCGCTAACACGCATACCGAGCCAAAATGCAACTCGAAAAGTAGAAAATAGGAAATAAACACGCGCTATTAGCAACCTATCATTTTGGCGAATTTTCGAGTTTTGCCTTGCTATTAGCGACCTATCATTTTAGCTTGCTGTCGTACTGTCGACTTTTGTAGTCTCAATTTTCCAGGTCGCGTTTGAATACGTGCAATCAGGGCTCACACTGTCTTTTATTTTTTTCCGTCAAAATGGATAATAATTTTTATATAAAAGAATTGTTCATACATCTGTCCATCCGTCCGTCCAAAATTGTTTCTGAACAGTCTACAGACAGGTCACAATTTTTATCCAATTTCAATGAAACTTGAAATATAGGTTTATCACCCTAAGATCTCGGTTTCTTTCGATATTGGCATGTATCCGACTGTAACTTCATGGATTATGGCCCCTGAGTGTACGAAAAATCACGTTTTTAGCTTGTGAACACTGTAGAGGTCACAATTTTGATCCGATTTGGTTTAAACTTGAAATGTATGCTTATAACCCACAGATCTCGGTTCTTTTCGATATTCGCGCATTTCGGAATGTAACTTCCTGAATTATGGCCCCTGATTGTATGAAAAATCGCGTTTTTAGCTTGTGGATCCTATAGAGGTCATGATTTTTATCCGATTTAAAATAACGTATTATTATATCACCGTTACACCCTAAGGACGATTGATTTAGAATTTCGTGAAAATCGGCCCAAAACTGACAGACAAAATGGCCGCCCTTCGTTCTCAAATAGCGTGAAAATATGGTATATCAAGGTTGTGGACCCTATAGAGGTCACAATTTTTATCCGATTTTGTTGAAACTTGAAATGTAAGTTTATAACCCAAAGATCTCGGTTCCTGTCGATATTCGCGCAATTCGTAAAAATCGGCCCAAAACTGACAGACAAAATGGCCGCCCCTCGTTCTCAAATAGCGTACAAATATGGTATATCAAGGTTGTGGACCCTATAGAGGTCACAATTTTTATACGCCCACATTTTCATGTGGACGTATATTGTCGTCGCCCCTGTGCGTCCGTCCGTCCACAATTTGTTTGTGGACACTTTACAGGTCACAATTCTTATCCGATTTTGACGAATTGTGACCTGTAGAGAGTCGACAATATTCGCGCATATCGGACCATAACTTCCTGAATTATGGCCCCTGATTGTACGAAAAATCGCGTTTTTAGCTTGTGGGGGTCATAATTTTTATCCGATTTAAAAAAATGTATTATGATTGGGTGTAATGTGAGGGTAAGCTTTCCCAGTCAGAGGTACTATGCTAAGGGTTATTTTATGTGCTAGAGTCGTGCCAGGAAGCTCAGTGTATAGGAAGAAGTGCAGTGTTTTCATATTTGGGTTTATATAAGCCAAATGGTATTCTGGGAGGGAGTGGGCGATATTGACAGAATTTGAAAAATGTAATTAAAGGTCTGTACAATAAACCGTTATTAATCAAATCATCTGAACTTCCCTGAAAGTCTCTTCAACCATGGGAAGTGGTAGATGTGTAAAAGTTCACTAATCTATTCAAGTCTTGAAATAAAACACATTTTGTCACAAAAACTATTTTTGGTATTATTTATGTTTAGAGCTAAATCTGCCTATTGTAATTCTTTCTTTTGGCTTAAAATGTTATATAAATTATTATTTAGAGATTTATAAACATGGAAAGCCCATAATGAACTTTCCAGATCATAGGATGGGAAATGAAAATATAGCGATATCTGTTTCCAGGGATATCTGTTGCCAGGAATATCGCTCAGTTCAACTTGTATCCAGGTGCTAAGCACAACATTCTCCAAATATTATTTTAGGAGCATTCATCTACAAGAAATATTATTTATAGAGGGTTCTGCGAATGTTTCTAAATTTAGTAACATAACCACAACTCGTTGCAAGTGGCCATTGTGGTAGGCTACATGCTATTAACACTAGTGAGACATACCATTAGCCACCTCAGCTTACAGGCCAGATCTATGAAGAAGTCAATCTGTTTCTCAGAGTATCACGAAAGTCTTCTAATATCTCTCTAAAAGATGACTGCCTTCAACACATGACGTCATATTACGCAGCGTCAATCATTGGCTCAATGGCGCGTGTATTATTTACATAAGACGTAACTGATTCGAGGAGAATGGCGCACTTTACTCATTTTAATACCCATTTACACTAAAATAGGAAATAATTTTTACCTACAAATACTTCAAACGTCTTTTTTTATTTTTCTAATACATAACAAAAATGTTTTAGAATTTAATTTGTCGGAGGAAAAAAGTTAATATTTGTGGCTCATTAAGTAGCATGATGTCATCCTTATCAGTGATTGTCGTAGCCTAGCGAATATTCACTGTGGTTCAGTGTTTGAAGAAGTGTATGGCTCTTGCCAACATTAGGACTCTTTAAGGTATAATCAGACATCATGCAGGGTTCTCAGAAGGACGTACACGTACTCTCAGCATCTATGGCAAGGTTTGGGGGCATTTGTGTGGAACTTTTCACCACAAGAGTTCCACAAGATATTGGGTTTCTGAAAATAAATACATTCCACAAGATTTTTGACTTAAAATAATATTCATAGGAGTGTTTTGGGTCTGTGGTGTTTTCACCACAAGAGTTTTAACAACACAGTTCTCCAGAGTTTAATCGGTCATTGAAGTTTGTTTTATACACAGCGTGAAAGTCCTACCCAGATACACGACAGTGTGACATTGAAGATTTAGAATAATGTCACAGGTCAGGCAAAGCAATGGTAGTCAGGACTAAGCCACAAGGAAATATAGTGGATCACTCTAGGTGGGTCAGACTAGGCAACACATAAATATTGTGGATCACTCTAGGTGGGTCAGACTAGGCCACACATAAATATAGTAGATCACTCTAGGTTGGGCATGAATAACGCTAGGCCACACATAAATATAGTGGATCATTCTAGGTTGGGCATGAATAACCTAGGCCACACATAAATATAGTGGATCATTCTAGGTTGGGCATGAATAACCTAGGCCACACATAAATATAGTAGATCACTCTAGGTTGGGCATGAATAACGCTAGGCCACACATAAATATAGTAGATCACTCTAGGTTGGGCATGAATAACGCTAGGCCACACATAAATATAGTAGATCACTCTAGGTTGGGCATGAATAACGCTAGGCCACACATAAATATAGTAGATCACTCTAGGTTGGGCATGAATAACGCTAGGCCACACATAAATATAGTAGATCACTCTAGGTTGGGCATGAATAACGCTAGGCCACACATAAATATAGTAGATCACTCTAGGTTGGGCATGAATAACGCTAGGCCACACATAAATATAGTTGATCACTATAGGTTGGGCATGAATAACCTAGGCCACACATAAGAATTGTTGGGAACAGAATTTATATAACATTGAGAGTCAAAATAAAGACTTGCAATAATAAATACAGAAATGAAACAGCTTTTAACATTCCTACTGTTTTGGAAACGGGCATTGTGATCAAACATAGGACCTCTAGGTTAACAAGACTGTGTGTTATTTACTGCGCTACTGTGGCTCAGGATGTTATTGGTAACAATTGACAACGATCCAGTCACTGCAGGTAGGATATTATTGGTAACAATTGACAACGATTCAGTCACTGCAGCTCAGGATGTTATTGATAACAATTGACAATGATCCAGTCACTGCAGCTCAGGATGTTATTGGTAACAATTGACAGATTATTGATGAGCTTTCATATAAACATTCTGTGTTGCTCTTTCTACTTATTTCACCTCTTTCAAGATGAAATAAGTGGGTAGAAAAATCAAAGGGTACATGTAGGTTCACTCTGTGGGTATAATAAGTCAAGGCTAGGTCCATTCTCATACTCCTCACAGTGTTTTGTTTGATTAGAGCTAATCCCACTGAACACTGCTTTTTTGGAAGCAAATTTCTGTTCTAAATTATGACTGGTCAATAGTCCATTAACAACCAATAGCTAACTGTGTAACAATATCGTTACTTTTTAACCAAAGCTCCAAATTGGACCAAATATGTTTACACAACGTTACGTCATGACTCACGATTTTTTTATGCCCAATTTACCAGTGCATAGCAGAATATTGCAGAAAAATTAATTGCGTGACAAACGAGGCTATCAACATGAATACAATGTAAACAATACTGTATGGAGACGAAGAATAGTTTCACCGTTTTTAATACCTTAAATCACGGTCCAAAGTTTTAGGGAAGACCCCAGATTAAACAAAGGGCTGTCATGTTGCTGTACTTGGGATAGATTTGATTGAACGGGAAGAATACACACACTCACTCAAAAGCTCAAGTATCAGAAGCCAATCCAGTAATGGGCAGAGAGAGATTTCTCGAACCATTGCTCCAGGAATATGGTCCATTCTGGATGAAATAACAATAAAAAACCAGCTTTGGTGGCAAAATCTTTTTTATTAAAAAGAATCATAGAATGACAGTAGAATTTGTTATGTTGTATTTTATGACATATAACATTATTGTCGCTACTCATACATGTAACCCCCAACATTCCAACTTCTTTAAAACAATGCAGGGAGCAGGACACTCCTGGCATCAAACGACAACCTCAGAAATAAATTTGATAATGTTCAATTCATTAAGTCACAAAGACAGCCACCTAATCTGAAACGCCTCCTAACCAAAGCAAAATTCAATTCATCTATCACAAGGATCATTTTTTATGTATCTAAATGCCTGGATCTTTGAAGTAAATGTTGTGACCACATCACGCCAAATAACAAATATAACTTTCATACTTTTAGTGTCAACGACATTTTGAATTGTGACACAAAAAAATCTCATATATGACTTGACTTGCAATGGGTGTCTAAATTTCTACATAGGGGAGATGGGCACGCATCTATGGGATAGAGTACGCAACCATTAATGGGATTGTAATATTGAAAATGGGCCCTAATTTGTAAATAGGAATATCTTTAGATGTGCACAACACCTACAAGTAACAAGTAGTCAATAAGTAACAATTGACTATATTAATTTCCTTAAATCTATTCCAGGATTATATTCCACTCATTGTTCCTAAATTGAACCCATATACTACAGATTAACACATGTGTGTACATGTTTTCTATTAGTTAACGATATACTATGGAACCATAGACAATGGTAACTATGTGTCTTTGTAGATTGGAATTTTGGGTGAATGTTTCACCACAAATATCACATTTAAATGTTGTTGTTTTTTCTCCTGTGTGAATTTTCATGTGTTGAACAAAACCAGCTTTCTGTTTAAATGAATTATTACAAACATCAGATTAATATGGTTTTCGTCCTGTATGAATTATCATGTGTTGCTTTCGAGTACTATTCTGAGTAAATGATTTACCACAAACATCAGATTAATATGGTTTTCGTCCTGTATGAATTATCATGTGTTGCTTTCGAGTACTATTCTGAGTAAATGATTTACCACAAACATCACATTTATAAGGTCTCTCACCTGTGTGAGTTTTACTGTGTCTCCGTAAATCAGCACAGGTGCTAAAAGGTTTACCACAAATATCACACTTATAAGGTCTCTCGCCTGTATGCGTTTTGACGTGTCTGCGAAGGCTACCTTGAAAACTAAATGATTTACTACAAACATCACATTTAAAAGGTCTCTCGCCTGTATGCGTTCTCATGTGTCTGTGAAGGGTACCACGATCACTAAATGATTTACCACAAACATCACATGTCTGAAGTTTTTCACCTGTATGAATTTTGATGTGTTGCTGTAGGGTACTACTCTGGGTGAATGATTTACCACAAACATCACATTTATAACGTTTTTCACCCGTATGAATTCTCTTGTGTATCTGTGCATAATAACTTGTGCTAAATGATTTACCACAAACATCACATTTATAAAGTCTCTCGCCTGTATGCGTTCTCATGTGTCTGTGAAGGGTACCACGATCACTAAATGATTTACCACAAACATCACATTTATAAAGTCTCTCTTCAGTATGCGTTCTCATGTGTCTGTGAAGGGTACCACGATCACTAAATGATCTACCACAAACATCACATTTATAAAGGCTCTCTCCCGTATGAACTAAGGTATCTTCTAAGTTAACATTTACATTGACATGTATTTCACAGTGTTTTTCTAAATCAATGTCAGATTTAAATTCTTCATCACACAAATTACACTGATAAACAATATCAGTTTGACAAGATCCATCTACATGTACATGATCGGTTTCCTCTTCTTTAACATGTACATGTACAGCCATATCATTAGTTTTAACATGACAATATACAGTTTTCTCTTCAATAACATAACAATATTCATCAACATCATCAGTTTTCTCTTCTTTAACATGTATTCTATTATGTACTTTTAAATCATCATATTCTTGGAAAATTTTATCACACATGACACACCGATGAAATGTTTTAAGATCTTTAGTTTCCTGTAATATATAAAAGTTATAACATCATTAGTTTCCTATAATATACAAAATATGTCCAAGCAGTCCACAAGGGTTGTTGCATATTTATTCTTTTGTAGGTAAAGGAGGGAATCTACAAACTGAAACAAGGAACAGGGGCCTTAACTCTGGAAACAATTTAGAGAAATTGTTGAAATTCAACAGACTGTTTCATTTTAGCAATTCAAGTAATGCATATAAATTTCATACAGATGATAATTTTTGTTGTTTGAGCATTCATAAGGTTCAATTACAATGTGAAACAATTCTCGGAAATTATTGAAATTAAAATCTAAGTTTCAAAACAATTAGGCAAACGGATAGTTCAATCTTATTTTAATAATTCTGTTGTGTATAGGGGTATTTGGCAGTGGGGGAAACCGGGCGTGCGAACTGGAAAAAAACCCACAAAGTTGGAGAGACAACCCTATTCCTTGTCATGTACAAGTGGAGAATCGAAACCACACCACTTGACTCAATGACCAATCTGAGTAAAATACAGATCTATATTCCTATTGTTTTTTTTATACTTTCGATGGCCTACACTACATGAAGATCTGACCAGTTGTACTCGAAGGTCGCGTCAGGGGTCAAAAGACCGACTTATGACCTATGACGCCAGACATTTGATTAACCAATCAGCATTGATGTTACTGGTGGATTACCCACAGTTCCGTGCAAAACACGCCCAAAGCTCGCCGTAACAGACCGTTTCATTGGCTTATCCCTGACATCATTCAGAACACGAGTTAAATATCAACTCTTCCAGATCCAAGTGTAGTCAAGACAAGTAAAACGAAATTTTGAACTATAAAAACGAAATGAAATAGGATCTGTGTTTTAACCAGATTGCTCAATGACAGACCTTGTGATCCAATACACACATGTTGAACCATTCGGCCACCCAATCCCTCTACAATAAAAGATATTAAACAGATAAACAATGGAAACAAGATCCAGAGCTTAAAGTGTTAAAATATCTAAATTAATATTCAACTATTAGTATGTTTTAAAGGAGCTAAATCGCTAACATTTGGGACCTAGAAATTGACAAAAGTGGGTCGCAACGCATATAATACTGTAGTATGAATGTATATAAACTGATTTACATTCAATGGTTTCCGTTTTTACTCCAATTTCAAATCAGTTATGTTTGGCGAAATATGCCAGCAGTCTCAAGCGAGTGCAAATTTCTAGCGTCTGGTTATTCCAGTCTACATATGCCGTTTGATTTGGTGCAATGTGTCTAGCCTCGTCCCTCGAGTCTCTTGATACAACTGGGATGAAACGCATTATGGTACACGATTCGTGTACCAATGGTAAAATGTTTATTTTGTCTTAAATATTGGATATCAAAAGCCCATCTTTTTCCGGTAAGATCACAACATGAATGTTGATTTAATTTGACAAATAAATCGTGTTTTCAATGTTGAAGATTTTGGATGATATTGAGTTAGAGACTTAGCTACTTTAAAGCTGATTTATCACGAAAAATTATTTCTGCTTGCATCTAGACTTATTACATAGACTTATTCTAAGATTACAAAGAATAGGCCTAGCTAGAGTTAAAAGCTTTTTAAAATATATTTGATGGACTGATCAGTATCATTTACATGTATCTCTGGTGGTGATCAGATTTAGGCCTACTATATGAACAGATAAGTCTCTCGGTACCACCATAAGCCTATCTTCTAGAATGTAAAATTCAGTGAATTAATAAAATTAACTCACCATTCTACAAAATAGTGTTTTTACTGGTCTAATCGTCAAAAAAAGAATCAAACACTTCCGGTGTGTAGCAAATGTTAATTATAGACGTGGACTAAACCGACACGAACGGTTCATAATTGCGTGTGTTGTTGGGAATGCTCGATAATCAGCCTCAACGCGGTAGCACGATGTATCAAAATCCACCCAAATCTACCAATATCCACCCTAATACGCCATTATTCCACAATAATATGTATTGATATTTGATAATGTGCCATTCTTCATACCAAATTGTCATTTTTAATTTAAAACGTAACGTTTGTGTGTTAAAAGACCAAACGTTACACTGAAACTTTCCGAACGTCTGTACCATATACGAAATAATACCATAAAAAAAAACAAATCTGTAAAGTCAGAGAAAAATTAGGAACCCCTTTGGGTTCTCGGCCTCCAAGCGTTCCCAGAACCTATTTGTATTGGCACATAACTCGTCTAGTGCAGTGATTCTCAACCAGTGTGCCGTGGTGCACAGTTGTGCCGCGAGATCTTCCTAATTGTGCCGAGAAATTTTGAACGGCACACTAAGAAAATGCGAAAAGTCACTTGATCCCAACTGAATATTCACTGGTGTCTACTGGTAAGTTTATAGCTGCGTTTATCTTTATTTACTTCCGGGTCATTCTATGTGTCTATGACTAGGCTAGTCTCTCTCTACCATTTTATGCCGTCTGACTTGCCATGTTTTTATTTTGCAAAATTCAAATATTTTTCATATATATTTAGCCAGGTGCGTGCCCATAGCCAGAGGGGGGCAATGCCCTCCCCCCACCCAAAATTTGCCGACCATAGCTCTAAAATACCTACTGTAGATGGTGCCGGGTGTGCCCCCCCCCCCCCCTAAAAACCTCACTGACCCTCCGAAGATAGCAAGCTGGTTACGGGCCTGGCCAGGTGTGCGCTATTTGTTCATATGTTCCAAGATGTTCCTAGTGGTTTGCCTTTTGTCTCTGGACAGGCTACTTTTGTATCTCTCTCCTTTTGGACTTCAACGTTGTGTCTTCTCAGGGTACAGACATCGAATAGTAACAGGAACAACAAAACTCTTTCTACAGGTTTCTATGTTAAAACAGTTAAACAATAGTCTACATTACAGCACTTAAGATTAACATGTCTTTCCTTCAACCCCATTCCACTCGCAGAGCAGGTTAGCTAATGGAAAACTCTTCATCCCTACTCTCTCAGAATCAAATGGTCGTCTGGGAATCAAATGGTTAGCTAAAGAAACCAAGCAGTGTCTGATCATTTGAGTCCTGGTTTTGCTCTTTCATAGATGCAAACATCCAAAATTACATACGTCATAGACTGACAACAGCTTAATTCCAAATATGGAATAGATATGCACCATACCCTGCATACAGGCAAGGACTATTACCTAAATTGGTCAACAAATATGATATATCTTTATGCGCATGAAAATTGTAAATGACCAAGATATTTATAGATCAGTTAACTTATCAAAATAAACCACATTACTTGCTATATTTCTTGATTATGAATTGATAATGGTCACAATATTGTTACTGACATAATATTGTTACACACCCCCTCCCAACTAAGCTACGAAGAAGAATTGTGGGCACCCTAGGGTCATGCGTAACAATTGTGGAGCACTGTAGGTGGGTCACTAATCGGGCAGGTTAGACCAGCATAATACTATTGTAGAGAATTCTAGGTAGGTCATGGCTCAGGCTAGGCCACGCATAATAATTGTGGGTAACTTTAGGTCACACATGCTAGGTCAAGCATAAATATAGTGGGGTCACTCTTGGCTGGTCATGGATCATGCTAGTCAAGTCACGCATAAGAATTGTAGGGAACAGAATTTATATAACATTGGAAGCCAAAATAAAGACTTGCAATAGGCAAATTTAGCTCTTATATACTGTATCTTTAAAATAATAAATACCGAAATGATACAGGATTTAATGTCCTACTTTTCTACTAATTACACAGGAATATGCTATACATTGTGCTATGAGGAAAACCTTTTCTGGACAGTGGCACTACAGCCTACTCTTATTTCAAATTCTATCTGCCTAGGGTCTTTTACATAACATGCCAATGTGTTCACAGGGCCTCATTCTTCCGGGTTATTCGAAACAACGATACTAGACTTTCTGACCTACATCACTGACATTGGGAACCAATCTGGAAAAACACCAATTTTATCGTTTGACACCTGAAGAGAATACAGGACCGCTAAGTTAGCAAACCAGCATCTTACTCAATGAGACACTGTGGCTCTGGTGGATGTTTTTGGGTAACAATTGACGGTTTTATTAATAAGCTATGGACATGAACATTCTGTGTTGCTCTTTCTACTTATTTCACCACTTTCAGGATGAAGTCTGGTGGTAGAGCAAGCAAAGGGTATGTTCACTCTGTGGGTAGAATAAAACCAAAACCAGCTTTTGTGTCTAAATTTTTTTTTTATGAACAGACAACAGAGAGAGAGAGAGAGAAATGGGGTTTAATGTCCACTCGACACAAACTAGGTCATTTCGGGACTAACATATGGTTTAATTTTATTTACATAATTCGCTTGCGCATAGGGGTCTTTAGCAGTGGGAGGAAACCGGAGGACCCGGAGAAAACCCACGAGGTTGGACAGGCGACCCTACTCCTTGCCACGTACAACCGGGGATTCAAAACCACGCCAGTCTACTCAATGACAGACTTTATGATACAGCGCGCGCACGCTAACCATTCAGCCATCCAACCCCCCGAACAGACAACAGAATTGCTTATTTTCCATTTTGTGATATATTACAGTAAACATACTAAAATTAGAATAAAATAATAATACACTGTAACTATCAAAGATCACCCGAGTTTTATTTATGTATATAGTATGTAATCAAATTCATCATAAATTCTTTATGTAAAATAATGTCAGTATTATTTCACGTGACTACACACCACTGTTCTTAATCAGTCATTATTTGTCTCCTTGATGTTTAGTCTAGCTGGTTGGTAAAACAATGAATCGGACACTATGGTATCATAAATCAATCTACTTTTGGCAAAATTACAACGGGTTAATTATTACTTGTTAATTAAGAAGACAATCAACTTGCTTGTCGGCTACAATAACAGTCATCTTGACTTCATGAGAATCAGCCACATGGTTCACAATCCAAGTAATTAGCACATGTAACGGAAATTTTGATAATGCGGAAAAAAAACAAACTAGCTTGCACATTTTCCATAAACAGGTCTAGTAAGCTGTCTTTTTAAAAAAAAGCATGTGGCAAATAAAGACGGTTTCGTTATGGTTTGTAATTCACATGTCTTCCACCGCTCTGTATGAATTCCAGGTACCGGTAGATATTAGAACAATAACTGGATGATACATTGTTGGATTCACTGATCACCAGTTGTTAGGTAAATTTATATCTTCATTCAATATAATCGCCCGATAAAACACCGAATACACTGAGAAACAGTCATTAATAATATATTTTCCGAACAGAATATCCAATGACACATGTCACATCGGTTGGAATTACATATAGGTGAAAAAAACAGTCTTGATAAATAGCATTTACCATAATTATTTTTTATTTTATACGCATACTGAGGCTTAATTTTAAAAATATTGTAGTTTTTAAATCATTATTATTAATTCTAATAATCATATTTTTAGGTGAATTTTTATGTGTCTGCAGATTAAAAGTTGTCATAAATGATTTACTAAAAACATCACATTTAAAGGGTTTCTTGCCAGTATAAAGTGGCATGTTGCTGTATTTCTCCACTAATAAAACACAGTTTACCACACAGTTTACTTTCCTGTATTTCTCCACTAATACCACACAGTTTACTTTCCTATATTTCTCCACTAATACCACACAGTCTACCACAAAACTCACTATTATGAGGTTTACTTCCCTGTATGAGTTTTCATGTGTACGCGAAGAGCACCCCGTTGAATGAATGATTTACGACAAACATCACAAGTATGAAGTTTTTCTCCCGTGTGTATTCTCATGTGTTGTCGTAGACTACTATTCTGAGTAAATGATTTACTACAGACATTACAATTGAAAGGTTTATCACCAGTATGAATTCTCCTATGTGTCTGTACACAGTAACTAGTGCGAAATGATTTACCACAAACATCACATTTAAAAGGGCGTTCGCCTGTATGAATTCTCATGTGTATCTGTACACAGTAACTAGTGCTAAATGATTTACCACAAACATCACATTTAAAAGGTCTTTTAATACCCATCTGATCTTGAAACTTATCGCCATCTTTAAATTGTTGTAAACTATTTCCTATGGTCTTAACATGTACTTTGGCATCTATTTCACTGCGTTTTTCTATATTAGTCTCAGATTGAAATTCCCCTTGAGATAAATTACATTGATAAACAGTTTCAACATCTTCTGGTTTCTCTACTTTAAAATGTACATGACAATATTCATCTACATCATCAGTTTTCTCTTGTTTAACACGACAATATTCATCTATATCATCAGTTTTCTCTTCTTTAACATGACAATATTCATCTACATCATCAGTTTTCTCTTGTTTAACACGACAATATTCATCTACATCATCTGTTTTTTCTTCTTTAAACTGTACACGACAATATTCATCTACATCATCAGTTTTCTCTTCTTTAACATGTATTTTATTGTGTTTTTCTAAATCATCATATTGTTGAAAAATCTCTTCACAAACAAAACATTGATGAAAGGTTTTAACATTATTAGTTTCCTGTAATATATAAAAGTTATAACATTAGTTCTCTGTTACAGATTGGGAGAAGTAATTACCAGAATTTATTAGACATTATTTGGCTCCTAGTTTTGTCCATGCTAACTTCTTTTATACAAAAGATTTCTCTAGGGCCCGGGTATCGTTTAATCTTGTGTAAACAGTGTTAGTTTCTCTGATGCGTTGAAAAATTCATAACTATTGTGCCTTGTTCAGATTTTAACGATATGTTTAGTTATGCGTTGTCTTCGCTCAGTTTTTTTCGCCAAATG